ACAGACTCGATTTTCTGGAAAAAAATAATAAAAGACTAAAAACATACGAGTCAGAAATAGGATGCTGCGTACTCAACTGAAGAACCTAGGAAGATCAGAGAGCCCTAAACCATCTCTTGAAGCTCAAATATTGAGTCAAAAAGAAGGTTGCAGACTTAGAAGCTATGCTTGACGCTGAGTACGAAGATATGCAACATTCTTTAAGTGCTGCTGCACAAACTGTTGTAACGATGTCACACATTGCTGAACTGCAAGATGAAATTGGCTTCCTAAAAGAACTTGAATCTAAACTGAGAAATGACGTAAAGAGTCTGATGGACGAGAGTAACCAACGTGAGGTCAACCACTCATTTAAAATCTCAGATATACGATGCCATAATGATTCTACTAAAAGAGCTTCAGGATCAAATCTGAACTGGAATGCCAAAACGAAATCTGGATTATGAAAAAGGACGACGAAATCAGAAAATTGCAACAACTAATTACAAACCCGAAGCAGGCTGGCACTTAACCAGAACCACCTGTGCAGGAAGACGTTGCATTTTATAGGGAGCAAGTTGAGTTCTCCCAGAACATGTACAAAAATGAGATAATAGGTGGAGAGTTACGTATAAACCATAGAGAAAATCTTCAGGCAGTTAAACTAGAAATATGTCTACCCTTGTTTAGTGTTTACGATTATTGCAGGGTTTGGACAAAGTTTAGGGCTGATCCCAGTGCTCACAGTTACATACAATTTTCAGCTAATAAATCTTGAATTCTGAGGTAACAAAATCAACTAGAACTCTGAAAAAGTGATTTATCAGAAATCATGCCCTTACTTCCATGATAAGAGGGATTCGTAAAAATTATAAGCAGGTTGTGGCTTATTATCTAGTAAAAGATACAAGAATCCCAGATCTGAAAACGATTATTGTTCATGTGATCACAAACTAGCAGCGACTTGGTTTGTGCGTTGTTGGCACTATTTCTAATCAGGGGCGCAACGATCAAAAACGCACTTGAGACGATTTGCTCGGAGAATACTCACGGATCAAGTCCATTCCATTTTATAGTCAATGCTCAGAGTATTTCTACAATTTGTGATGAACCACATTTATTCAAAAATGGATGAAATGCTCTTATTGACATTAATATGAAAGTGAAGAAGCTGCACAGATTGAACATGTCTAGAATCATATAATGTTGATCAGCAAACAAGACCATACAAAGAGCTAGATTCGTTCAAGAATATAGAAATTCTCCTTTAATGATATCGTCGGATGATTCGAGCTTTCTCAGTTATGTGGTGGGGGTCCCGTGACTTCTCATACGGTATGAGCACGTATACCTCAAACCACAGTTTAATTTAAACATCACAATTGTTGGTTTGTTGACTTTGCGGTCAAATTTGATCCGAGGATGTCAGTTGCGTGTACGATTTGAACTTCCTTCACAATGGATTTTTTCGTTGTTGACGGATGAACAATACACTATAGACTACGCCGAGGACGACTGCTATCGATCAACCTGAACAACTTCCTATGGGCGACCTCGCTATGCCTATGGAAAAAACATGTACAATTGGTCAAAACGAGCGCCTGCAATGGTCTGCGCATTTTACGCATTTACCTGAACTAAAGTCCGTGGCAACCAATTTGGAAATAATAACCCTGTGACTCGAGAAATGCCGATACGAAATTTTCGAGACACTCATAGAGAACTGTCGAAATTGTTATATTTCGGGTGAGTCCCCTACAAATACGATGCTCGTGGGCCGATGTCCTTCCTGTGCCTACAAGAAAACTAAACCGAATAAGTATGGACTGATGATGCAAAGACTCACCACTACCTGCTCAATGCTTTCGTCTATACGAACAGAAATATCACAGCAGATGACTGGTTCACGTCAGTAGAATTACATGTAGAATTGCGCATCAACCAACTGACCTATGTCGGCAGGAAGCGTAAAAATAAGTAACAAGTACCCCAACATGTAGTTCCAAATAAGAAGGAAACACAGCCAGGTACTTCTAAGTTTATGTTGTACAGCCTTAGGTAGTATCTTCCAAAACCAAATACACATGTTCTCGTATAGCAATCTATGCAGCATGATAACAAAATAGTAGAGGAATCAAAGAAACCTGATAAGATCCTATATTATTTTTATAACACTATGAAGGCGGGGGGGTAATGCATTAGATCGGAAGTGTGTAAATTACAATACTGGTTAGAGAACGAGAAGATGGCCCTTGTGCTATTTGGTATCCAACCAGATTCTGTAAATTCCTTTTTTTTTTCAGTCTGGGACTGAAAGTTCCATTAGGCGACGAAATTTTATTGTTCCCCTGAGGCAAACTCTAATTTAACTTCGTATGAGAGGACGTTTATCAGATCCAAGACTTCCTAGGGAGCTTCGTCAGCCATGCAAAGAATCCTAAATTACCAACGACGAATTAACGTAAGCCGTCTACTTCTCAGCCAGAGTTCTCGATCCTGATTGCAGTTGTTAAAGAAAAAAAACGACGTAGGTGTTACATGACAATACACAATGAAAAAAAATGTTCTACAATCTGTAATAAGTATGTAAAGTCACAGCGCACTTACATTGTTCGTGAAAGTGATAAATGTTAATTATTGTATGTTTTCCTTATACGAGAAAGTATTGTTTTTGTTTGTAGAATATCAACACCAAATATGTTGTTAATGGCCCATTTTGTTAGTTTTTTTATGTTCATATTTACAGTTCAAGTTTCGAGAATTTATTTTATTGCATTACTCATCTTCAATGGGGTATTTTCGTTTTTAGACAATAAACAGTTTTCATGTAAGAGTGTCTTATGCGTACAAACCTGTTGTACACATGGCTAAAAAACCAGTAATGGCATTTCAGATGTTGGATAGTAAGATCCGGTGTGATAACCTGTTTTGCGAGATTAGACTGTGGATTTCCAACACGAACACCACTGTTTATTTGAAGCATTTAAAAAACTGTAATAATCAACAATTTCAGTTTTCCATTGACAATAATGAAGAATTATGAAGGCGATTCATGTAAGGCACTAGGTAACTTCGCGTTGCTTTTAGAAGAGTATTGTCTGAATAGACAACAGTTACCTTGTGATTCTTCACCGAGCTGCATTTTTCAAGTTGAAAAATCGGGTGCTGAAAGTGATGGATCTATAGATTTGTGAGAATTTGCTGCTGCTTCAACTTCTTTTTGTAATAACAATAACAGTCTATATGAAAATTTACAATTCTGTTTCTTCTTTGATTTTGAGTCACCCTGTAAATGTAGCTCTACTAAACTATCGGACCGCATTCATAGCCTACAAGAGAAAAAAATCTTCTATACTGGAAAGGAGGAAAAAAAGAATGTATCAACCTGATACATCTGCCCCTCTTTATAACCGTGAAATAGCCCTAGTTCTAATTAAATTTCAGTTCAAGCTTCCAAAATGACTTCCAACAATATTAAAGTAGCCACAAAGATCAGACCAATGATCCACCGCGAAGTAGCCGATGGTCTAGAGCGTCTTTGGAACGTAAGAGTAAAATGCATATGGGAAGCCGATGAAAGTAGTCGCCATGGAGAGGTTTATATATTCGACCATGTATTTAATCAGGAATGTACAAATTCAGATGTATATGGATCTGTAGTAAAACCTTTAGTCGATTCCTTCATGGAAGGTTTCAATGCCAAATATTTGCATATGGCCAAACATCTTCTGGCAAAACACACACCATTTTGGGCAATAAACAGATCCTGGGCTTTTCCAATTAGTATCCAATCAGTTATTCCAGCATGTGGCAGACCAGGTTGATAAGAGGTACTTGATTAGATGCAGTTATATTGAAATCTACAATGAAAAGATCAATGACCTCCTGGATAAGAGCAATCAGGGTTTAACTATGAGAAGATATCAAAGGAAATGTGCTGCTTGATGCAAGGGAAGCTGTCGTAGACCAATGTTGATAAAGTTATGGAGAACATGATGCAGGGCAATAAGATCAGACGAGTTGCAGCTACTCGCATGAATGAGAGTTCATCTCGATCACACACGATTTTCCGGATTATTCTGGAGTCGAAAGATGCCAATCAGAAAGATGACCTGTACATATAAGCTACCTTAACTTAATGGACTTAGCTGGTTCTGAGAGAGTTCTCTGACGAAAGCTGCTGGTGAGCGTCTTAAAGAGGGGGCTAACATAAACAAATCTTTGTCAGTATTAGGAAATGTGATAAGGCAACTAAGCGAGGGGAAGGAGTTTATCAGTTATCGCGATTCGAAATGACCTAGACTGCTCTCACAGGCTCTTGGCGGTAATGCCAAATCATTGATTATCGGGAATGTTACTTTAGCTGCAGAGGAGGAGACTAGATCTACACCAGAATTCGCCCAAAGCACTAAAACTGTCAAAATAAAACGAAAGTAAACATCTTGTCAGCTACAGAAGAGACACTTCAAGGATATCAGAACTTGACTCGCGATCTCGAAACTCGGCTCAAAAAGCAGGCAATTAAGCTAAAGAGATGGATAAAAGCAAACAAGAGTATCTGCTCGAGATAGAAAGACTAAAACGGAAGTATCTATTGTCGGGCGCTTTCAAATGGGAGCCTCGGCATCAACACCGAAAAAAACATTAAGACGTCATACTTTTGGACACTATGGCAACGTATCACCTAAAAAAGCATCCCTAGGGTATATGCCATTGAAAAATTATCCACCCAAAGAAGAATCATCCGGACGTGAAATGAGGCCTATTCAAGAAGAGACATATGAGGAGGCACTAGCCGAAGCAGAATCTGTGATAGCTGAAGACGTGCAAGTGTACTTAAAAGACAACGCAAAGAACTGGAAGAATCTTTCAATGAGCTTAGAGAATTCACTAAACTAGATAATCAGCTGGAGATTTTGGACCTGAAGAAACAGCTCACAGAAGCCAATTCTAAAATCGATCGTTACAGTCAGGAACTCCGCCAAGTAACGGATGCGTACAACGAAGAAATAGAAAGAGTTCAAAAAAATTCTCAAAAAGCGCAAGAATTTCATCGACTTGCAATACAGACTCGATTTTCTGGAAAAAAATAATAAAAAGACTAAAAACATACGAGTCAGAAATAGAGATGCTGCGTACTCAACTGAAGAACCTAGGAAGATCAGAGAGCCCTAAACCATCTCTTGAAGCTCAAAATATTGAGTCAAAAAAGAAGGTTGCAGACTTAGAAGCTATGCTTGACGCTGAGTACGAAGATATGCAAGATTCTTTAAGTGCTGCTACACAAACTGATGTAACGATGTCACACATTGCTGAACTGCAAGATGAAATTGGCTTCCTAAAAGAACTTGAATCTAAACTGAGAAATGACGTAAAGAGTCTGATGGACGAGAGTAACCAACGTGAGGTCAACCACTCATTTAAAATCTCAGATATACGATGCCATAATGATTCTACTATAAAAGAGCTTCGGATCAAATGGCTGAACTGGAATGCCAAAACGAAATCTGGATTATGAAAAGTGCCCCTCTTTATAACCCGTGAAATAGCCCTAGTTCTAATTAAATTTCAGTTCAAGCTTCCAAAATGACTTCCGACAATATTAAAGTAGCCACAAAGATCAGACCAATGATCCACCGCGAAGTAGTAGCCGATGGTCTAGAGCGTCTTTGGAACGTAAGAGTAAACTGCATATGGGAAGCCGATGAAAGTAGTCGCCATGGAGAGGTTTATATATTCGACCATGTATTTAAGCAGGAATGTACAAATTCAGATGTATATGGATCTGTAGTAAAACCTTTAGTCGATTCCTTCATGGAAGGTTTCAATGCCACAATATTTGCATATGGCCAAACATCTTCTGGCAAAACACACACCATTTTGGGCAATAAAACAGATCCTGGGCTTTTCCAATTAGTATCCAATCAGTTATTCCAGCATGTGGCCAGACCGGTTGATAAGAGGTACTTGATTAGATGCAGTTATATTGAAATCTACAATGAAAAGATCAATGACCTCCTGGATAAGAGCAATCAGGGTTTAACTATAAGAGAGATATCAAAGGAAATGTGCTGCTTGCTGCAAGGAAGCTGTCGTAGACAATGTTGATAAAGTTATGGAGAACATGATGCAGGGCATAAGATCAGACGAGTTGCAGCTACTCGCATGAATGAGAGGTCATCTCGATCACACACGATTTTCCGGATTATTCTGGAGTCGAAAGATGCCAATCAGAAAGATGGACCTGTACATATAAGCTACCTTAACTTAATGGACTTAGCTGGTTCTGAGAGAGTTTCTCTGACGAAAGCTGCTGGTGAGCGTCTTAAAGAGGGGCTAACATAAACAATCTTTGTCAGTATTAGGAAATGTGATAAGGCAACTAAGCGAGGGGAAGGAGTTATCAGTTATCGCGATTCGAAATTGACTAGACTGCTCTCACAGGCTCTTGCGGTAATGCCAAATCATTGATTATCGGGAATGTTACTTTAGCTGCAGAGGAGGAGACTAGATCTACACCAGAATTCGCCCAAAGCACTAAAACTGTCAAAAATAAAACGAAAGTAAACATCTTGTCAGCTACAGAAGAGACACTTCAAGGATATCAGAACTTGACTCGCGATCTCGAAACTCGGCTCAAAAAGCAGGCAATTAAGCTAAAAGAGATGGATAAAAGCAAACAAGAGTATCTGCTCGAGATAGAAAGACTAAAAACGGAAGTATCTATTGTCGGGCGCTTTCAAATGGGAGCCTCGGCATCAACACCGAAAAAAACATTAAGACGTCATACTTTTTGGACACTATGGCAACGTATCACCTAAAAAGCATCCCTAGGGTATATGCCATTGAAAAATTATCCACCAAAGAAGAATCATCCGGACGTGAAATGAGGCCTATTCAAGAAGAGACATATGAGGAGGCACTAGCCGAAGCAGAATCTGTGATAGCTGAAGACGTGCAAGTGTACTTAAAAGACAACTCAAAGAACTGAAGAATCTTTCAATGAGCTTAGAGAATTCACTAACTAGATAATCAGCTGGAGATTTTGGACCTGAAGAAACAGCTCACAGAAGCCAATCTAAATTCGATCGTTACAGTCAGGAACTCCGCCAAGTAACGGATGCGTACAACCGAAGAAATAGAAAGAGTTCAAAAAAATTCTCAAAAGCGCAAGAATTTCATCGACTTGCAATACAGACTCGATTTTCTGGAAAAAAATAATAAAAAGACTAAAAACATACGAGTCAGAAATAGAGATGCTGCGTACTCAACTGAAGAACCTAGGAAGATCAGAGAGCCCTAAACCATCTCTTGAAGCTCAAAATATTGAGTCAAAAAAGAAGGTTGCAGACTTAGAAGCTATGCTTGACGCTGAGTACGAAGATATGCAACATTCTTTAAGTGCTGCTGACACAAACTGATGTAACGATGTCACACATTGCTGAACTGCAAGATGAAATTGGCTTCCTAAAGAACTTGAATCTAAACTGAGAAATGACGTAAAGAGTCTGATGGACGAGAGTAACCAACGTGAGGTCAACCACTCATTTAAAATCTCAGATATACGATGCCATAATGATTCTACTATAAAAGAAGCTTCAGGATCAAATGGCTGAACTGGAATGCCAAAACGAAATCTGGATTATGAAAAGTGCCCCTCTTTATAACCCGTGAAATAGCCCTAGTTCTAATTAAATTTCAGTTCAAGCTTCCAAAATGACTTCCGACAATATTAAAGTAGCCACAAAGATCAGACCAATGATCCACCGCGAAGTAGCCGATGGTCTAGAGCGTCTTTGGAACGTAAGAGTAAACTGCATATGGGAAGCCGATGAAAGTAGTCGCCATGGAGAGGTTTATATATTCGACCATGTATTTAAGCAGGAATGTACAAATTCAGATGTATATGGATCTGTAGTAAAACCTTTAGTCGATTCCTTCATGGAAGGTTTCAATGCCACAATATTTGCATATGGCCAAACATCTTCTGGCAAACACACACCATTTTGGGCAATAAAACAGATCCTGGGCTTTTCCAATTAGTATCCAATCAGTTATTCCAGCATGTGGCAGACCAGGTTGATAAGAGGTACTTGATTAGATGCAGTTATATTGAAATCTACAATGAAAAGATCAATGACCTCCTGGATAAGAGCAATCAGGGTTTAACTATAAGAGAAGATATCAAAGGAAATGTGCTGCTTGATGCAAGGGAAGCTGTCGTAGACAATGTTGATAAAGTTATGGAGAACATGATGCAGGGCAATAAGATCAGACGAGTTGCAGCTACTCGCATGAATGAGAGGTCATCTCGATCACACACGATTTTCCGGATTATTCTGGAGTCGAAAGATGCCAATCAGAAAGATGGACCTGTACATATAAGCTACCTTAACTTAATGGACTTAGCTGGTTCTGAGAGAGTTTCTCTGACGAAAGCTGCTGGTGAGCGTCTTAAAGAGGGGGCTAACATAAACAAATCTTTGTCAGTATTAGGAAATGTGATAAGGCAACTAAGCGAGGGGAAGGAGTTTATCAGTTATCGCGATTCGAAATTGACTAGACTGCTCTCACAGGCTCTTGGCGGTAATGCCAAATCATTGATTATCGGGAATGTTACTTTAGCTGCAGAGGAGGAGACTAGATCTACACCAGAATTCGCCCAAAGCACTAAAACTGTCAAAAATAAACGAAAGTAAACATCTTGTCAGCTACAGAAGAGACACTTCAAGGATATCAGAACTTGACTCGCGATCTCGAAACTCGGCTCAAAAAGCAGGCAATTAAGCTAAAGAGATGGATAAAAGCAAACAAGAGTATCTGCTCGAGATAGAAAGACTAAAAACGGAAGTATCTATTGTCGGGCGCTTTCAAATGGGAGCCTCGGCATCAACACCGAAAAAAACATTAAGACGTCATACTTTTGGACACTATGGCAACGTATCACCTAAAAAAGCATCCCTAGGGTATATGCCATTGAAAAATTATCCACCCAAGAAGAATCATCCGGACGTGAAATGAGGCCTATTCAAGAAGAGACATATGAGGAGGCACTAGCCGAAGCAGAATCTGTGATAGCTGAAGACGTGCAAGTGTACTTAAAAGACAACTCAAAGAACTGGAAGAATCTTTCAATGAGCTTAGAGAATTCACTAAACTAGATAATCAGCTGGAGATTTTGGACCTGAAGAAACAGCTCACAGAAGCCAATTCTAAATTCGATCGTTACAGTCAGGAACTCCGCCAAGTAACGGATGCGTACAACGAAGAAATAGAAAGGTTCAAAAAAATTCTCAAAAAGCGCAAGAATTTCATCGACTTGCAATACAGACTCGATTTTCTGGAAAAAATAATAAAAAGACTAAAAACATACGAGTCAGAAATAGAGATGCTGCGTACTCAACTGAAGAACCTAGGAAGATCAGAGAGCCCTAAACTCTCTTGAAGCTCAAAATATTGAGTCAAAAAAGAAGGTTGCAGACTTAGAAGCTATGCTTGACGCTGAGTACGAAGATATGCAAGTTCTTTAAGTGCTGCTACACAAACTGATGTAACGATGTCACACATTGCTGAACTGCAAGATGAAATTGGCTTCCTAAAAGAACTTGAATCTAAACTGAGAAATGACGTAAAGAGTCTGATGGACGAGAGTAACCAACGTGAGGTCAACCACTCATTTAAAATCTCAGATATACGATGCCATAATGATTCTACTATAAAAGAGCTTCAGGATCAAATGGCTGAACTGGAATGCCAAAACGAAATCTGGATTATGAAAAAGACGACGAAATCGAAATTGCAACAACTAATTACAAACCCGAAGCAGGCTGGCACTTAACCAGAACCACTGTGCAGGAAGACGTTGCATTTTATAGGGAGCAAGTTGAGTTCTCCCAGAACATGTACAAAAATGAGATAATAGGTGGAGGTTACGTATAAACCATAGAGAAAATCTTCAGGCAGTTAAACTAGAAATATGTCTACCCTTGTTTAGTGTTTACGATTATTGCAGGGTTTGGACAAAGTTTAGGGCTGATCCCACGCACCACGATAGCACCTAGGACTTAAGATTGTGAATCTAGTCTTGGTAACCGCTCACAGTGTACAATTTTCAGCTAATAAATCTTGAATTCTGAGGTAACAAAATCAACTAGAACTCTGTAAAAGTGATTTATCAGAAATCATGCCCTTACTTCCATGATAAGAGGGATTCGTAAAAATTATAAGCAGGTTGTGGCTTATTATCTAGTAAAGATAAAAGAATCCCAGATCTGAAAACGATTATTGTTCATGTGATCACAAACTTGCAGCGACTTGGTTTGTGCGTCGTTGGCACTATTTGTAATCGGGGCGCAACGATCAAAAACGCACTTGAGACGATTTGCTCGGAGAATACTCACGGATCAAGTCCATTCCATTTTATAGTCAATGCTCAGAGTATTTCTACAATTTGTGATGAACCACATTTATTCAAAAATGGATGAAATGCTCTTATTGACATTAATATGAAAGTGAAGAAGCTGCACAGCTTGAACATGTCTAGAAAGCATATAATGTTGATCAACAAACAAGACCATACAAAGAGCTATGTAAATTGAAACCCAGCCACTTTGATTTTATAGATTCGTTTAAGAATATAGAAATTAATCCTTTAATGGTATCGTCGGATGATTCGAGCTTTCTCAGTTATGTGGTGGGGCTCCCGTGACTTCTCATACGGTATAAGCACGTATACCTCAAACCACAGTTTAATTTAAACATCACAAGTGTTGGTTTGTTGACTTTGCGGTCAAATTTGATCCGAGGATCAGCTGCGTGTACGATTTGAACTTCCTTCACAATGGATTTTTTCGTTGTTGACGGATGAACAATACACCATAGACTACGCCGAGGACGACGCTGTTAGCGATCAACCTGAACAACTTCCTATGGACGACCTCGCTATGCTTATGGAAAAAACATGTACAATTGGTCAAAACGAGCGCCTGCAACTGGTCGATCCAGACGACAATATATTACGCATTTACCTGAACTAAAGTCCGTGGCAACCAATTTGGAAAATAATAACCCTGTGACTCGAGAAATGCAGATAAATTTCTCCAAATACGTGAAATTTTCGAGACACTCATAGAGAACTGTCGAAATTTTTATTTTTCGGGTGAGTCCCCTACAAAATACGAGATGCTCGTGGGCCGATGTCCTTCCTGTGCCTACAAGAAAACTAAACCGAATAAGTATGGACTGATGATGCAAAGACTCACCACTACCTGCTCAATGCTTTCGTCTATACGAACAGAAATATCACACCAGTAGAATTACATGTAGAATTGCGCATCAACCAACTGACCAACGTCGGCAGGAAGCGTAAAAATAAGTAACAAGTACCCCAACATGTAGTTCCAAATAAGAAGGAAACACAGCCAGGTA